ATTCCCTGTACTTTTTGTTGTAATTCTTGTGTTTCCCTTCCCCTCCTTGGGTTTGTGCGCCGCCATGAGTCCCGCCGGGAATAAAATGAACCTTGAACCTTGACCTTGAAAAGCAACCCAGCTCACCTGTAGACATCCGTGCTGGGGGCTGGCTTGTAATCGAATTGGACAAAGGATTCAGGAGGCAGGAACTCTAGGGTCCCACCACAGGTGTCCTCTTCCCCAGAACTGGACTTATATTGCTGGGTCGTTCTTCGCCTGAACTTGGATAAGCCAAAATCCGACACCTGAGCCAGAAGTGGGGATGGAACATTGGAAGTGGTTAGCTAACGCCATGCATACGGGTTACAAGCAAAGTTAAATCATAACCACACAGGTTAGAAAAGTCTATTTTTCTCCAGCCATCTGCTGATTTAAAAGCTATGGATGTGCATTTTAAATCAACATAATGCTAGAGAGCCACTAAATTGTTGATCCTTAAACTATGGCTCCGGGCCAGATACGGCCCACCAATTCAAAATATCCGGCTGGCAGAATGGTGTGATTCAACCACACCCCTCACCCCTCACCCTTGCCAACAGCCTTCTCTTCCAGCGAGCATCTGCTCCAGCTGCACTTCTGGTCTGAAACGGTATAGGGTTTCCTGCCTAGGCAGGGGGTTGGACTAGAAGACCTCCAAGGTCCCTTCCAACTCTGCTATTGTATTGTATTGGTTAGTTAGTTATTTCACTGGTTGAGCAGCACTTCTGATCACACCCTTGCTGCCGAAGGTCAGGCTGAAGGGTGCTGGGGAGGGCCAGCTGACTGAGAGGTGAACTTGCCAGTGCAGCCACTGATCCAGGGACGGTGGGTGAGTAGGGGAGGGAGGGGCTGCTACTGGCTTGAAAAGCAGCTCTGTTGCCAGCTTGTGAAGTAGTGCTTCAAAAGTCTTTAAAAATGCTTTAAAAACAGCCTTTCGGGATGTTTTTCACAGCCATATGATCCAGGACCGCTGGGTGAGTCAGGGAGGGGCAAGAACAGCTAGGACAAAGGTAACATGGACTGCTAAACTGGCCACACCCATCCAGTCACATGACCACCTCGCCACGCCCACCCAGTCACATGACCACCTACCCATGCCCACTCACCCGGTCCAGGCCCCCCAACAGTCTGAGGGGCCATGAATCATCCCCCTGTTTAAAAAAATTGAGGATCCCTGCCCTGCACTAAATGTAGACGCTGGTACATATTTACTGAATTTATATTCTGCCTTTTCTTCCAGGCCCCAAGGGAGGAAACATGGAACCTTTTCTTCTGCATTCTTTGCAAGTGCCACCCCTTCTAGGTAGGCTGATATGAGAGAAAGAGACTGTAGCATTGTCAGGCTCCAAGCACTGAGAAAAAGTTACTGGTACTTTGAACCCGTTTCTCTTATTACAATACAATAATACAATAGCAGAGTTGGAAGGACTGCTAAACTGGCCACACCCACCCAGTCTTCTAGTCTAACCCCCTGCCTAGGCAGGAAACCCTATACCGTTTCAGACAAATGGCTATCCAACATCTTCTTAAAGACTTCCAGGGTTGGGGCAT